TATCTTGGAAACCCAAGCCTTGAACTCGAAAGCCGTGGAAACAAGAAGCAGAGCCAAGCTGAGAGCTGTGCTCTTGAGTTGGATTATGAATATTCTCCTTCATTCATTCACTTTACTGGGACAAATATGAGGCAAAAATGCAGTCCCTGGCTGTGGGGAGCATTGGTTCCTCACAGTCATAGGCAGGGTTATTGGGAAGGAGGAATTCCAAATAAAGTGAGAGGCGCCAGTGAGCAGGAGGTGGCCCTGGCAATGCCTGGCTTGGGCAGTGGGAGGTGACAAGGGGGCAGGGCTCGGCAAGAGTGGAGGTGTGGGGGGTGGAGGTGCGGACAGGGGTGGGTTCAGCAGGACCTTCCACCCTGACGCCCATGGGGCCCTGCGGCCTCCGTGACTCAGATTCGGTCTATAAACCCTACTGATGATGGTGGCTACCATGTGCCTCAGCTCGCTTATTTCCACAATGGAATAAGGTGGGCATTACGATTCTAATTTCACAGACGAGGAAACTGAGACACTGAGAGGTCCCCAAAGCTGCCCAAAGTCACACAGTAAGTGCTGGAGCCAGGACTCAAACCGCAGTCTGCTTTGAAATCCCACGCTCTAACCCCACAGCCGATTGCTGTGTCTGCCAGGGCTGGCCCACAGGGAGGAAAGAGGTGCCAGCTTTGTGACTCAGGGGCTCCTCCTTCCCATCCTCGTGCTGTCCCCAGCACGATGCCAGCTGTGCGCAGGGTGCTGTGTGCCGGGCTGGAGGATGGGGTAGCCCACGAGTGCCCTGAGGCATGCTGTGGGGGCGCCAGAAACCTGAGGTGCACGTAGTGTGTCGAGACACTGGGTACCACGTGGCTCTGCACCGAGGGAGATGGTGGGTGTGGAGGGATGGTGGCCATTGGGATTAGGGACAAAGGTGGATGGAGGGGCCAGACAGGGAGGGGAGGGGAGGAGCAGCTGGAACCGAGCTGAGGAGGGCGGTGAGGTGCTGGCCGTCCTTGTCACTGTTGTCAGAGCAATGCCTTGGTCAGTGCCTGAGGTACAGGAGTGTGGGCCATGTCCTTTCTGAGCAGAGCTGGAGGGGACTCCTGGTTGTACCTTTTCTTGCTGCTGTGCTGTCCTGGGAGTCTCGGATATTATGATCTGGGGATCATCCCCTGGAAGTGATCAGTGGCCTCTGAGCAGCTCTTGCAAACCTGAGTATAGAAAACTGGGAGAGAAGTTTTTATGGTGTAAGAAGCTTCTCCTTGAAGTCCCTGCAGAAACCTGAGGGACAGGGTTTGGGGACCTGGGTTGATGTGCTCACAGGGCTGGTGGTGTCTAGGGGCAGAGCCGTGTCGACCAGAGAGCCCAGGGGTATCGGGGCGACGGCCTCCCCCTTGACTGCAGCTTCTGGGGCTGGGGGAGGGCGGGAGCTGCCAGGAAGAGGAGCTGGCGGAGGCTGTGGGGCTGCCCTGCGCCGAGGCTGGGCAGGTGCGCTGGGTGCTGGGTGGGAGGCTGGAGGTGGGCCGGGTGCAGCAAGGAGATTTGCCTCAGGGGCCAGTTTCTGTTCCCAGAAGACCCTGTGGTGCCGGAGTTGCAGCCACTGCTCCCTGGGCCGAGGCTGAAGCTGCGCTCCCCCGGCACTAGGGGAGGCCCGTCGTGGGCCTGAGGTGGGCAGAGAGCACGATGAGAGTGTGTGTGTCTCCTCTCTTGTGCAGGCAGGCACACACTCCCTTCCTCCCTGATGCTCCCTGCCACATGCAAAGCTCCTCCCTGGTTCTCCAGCCCCCTCTCCACACTCCTCCTGTCTCTGCTGCAGTCGAGCTGAGGACGGTCCCAGCTCCCTCCTCCCCCGCCTTTCCACATGACAAAGGACTGGCTGTGTGACTGAGTCTGCTGAGAGTTGGCCTGACCCGGGGCTCTGCAGGTGGGGAAAACCGCAGGCCCAGAAGGTGAGGGAGCCTGTCCCGAAGGGCCTCTTCCGCGCAGGGGGCAGCAGCAAATACACTTCAAATCTCCTTTCCCAACAGACATCTTCCCAGGATGCAAACTCTGTCTGAGGCAATGGGGGTGCCGGCAACAAGGTGGAGAGGAGAGGAAGCTGGTAGCTTTTGGTGTTGGGAACGAATGTTTTGGGTGCTGAAAAGGAGTATTCGCTCTCAAATCCATGCCCAACTGCCGCTCCCCAGGTGAAGAATGAAGGACCCTATGGGATTTGTATTTCAAATTCTTCATTTATTTTGACATTCACTTGGCTGCCACTCCAAGTTATCAAAGATGCAAGACAAGAAATCCGTAGTGGGAGTAGTGGAGGGGAGATGGGGGAAGATGGCGGAGAGAACAGAGCGTCTCCCACCCTCCTCCTCTTCCCGACAGGCTGCAGCTGGAAACACGCACAAATGGTTTCCCACAGTACAGACTCCACAGCTAAAACGGACGGTGCAGCTGAACGGGGGCTTCCTTTCCCACAGCGCAGGCCCCTGCAGCGCCAGCCGGGCCACCCCGAGGCTGGGTGGGAGCCTGCGCCCTGAGCAAGGTGGGCTGCACAGGGAGAGCTGCAGCCCATCTCTCCAGCGCCCTCAACTCTGGTTTTGATCTGTGGGCTGACGGGATTCGAGGAAACGGGATTGCACAGGACACTCTGTACTCAGAGACTCTGCTAGATCAGGGGCGATAAGCAGGTGATCGAGAGTTAGCTGGGTTGTCTTGATCAAATCAAGGCAGGTGCGATGACACGGACATAGCTGCTGTGGTATTCCCGGGGAGCAAGGCACTGGGGCTGGTTTGTCAGGAAGTGGGGAGCACAGCCCATGAGGGCTGGCGGGGGGCCAGGGCATGTTACAGCCGCACTGGAGACAGAGCTCATGACCCACCTTAGAGCTGCTGCCTGGTGCAAGACAGTGTTGCCATTTGAGGTCACCCAGTGGGAAGGTCGGATGAACACATTTCCTTTTCACTGACAGTTAAAATGGTTTTGCTGCTGTTCTTGTGTTTTACTGTGGTCTTTCATCCCTCAACAAGCATCCTGCGCACAGGGTTGGACAGCTGGCAGGTACGTCCAGCCCCTGCAGGGCCAGGGCGGGAGGGAGCGGCCCAGCTGGCAGATCTCTTTAGGAAGTCCTGGCTTGGTGGGGCACTAAAGGCCCTTAGGGTCCATCTGGGCGAGCCTCACTGCCTTGGAGAAAACGGAGTATCAGAGAAGATAAGTGACTGTCCTAGAGCTAATGAGTGACTAAAATGTGACCAGAGCCCAGGTCGTCTGCTTCTCAGGCCAGGGCACTTTAATTCCAGATCAAGATGCAAAGTGACATGTTGAACAGGGTTGTGCAAAAGGCATCCAACCCCTTGCCCATGCCCTCTCCCTCACTGCACCTTGCCCTTGTCACATGCAAAATCAAGATCTCAGCAGAGGGGCCAGCCCTTTCCCTGCTTCTCCCTCTGTAGCATTTGGTGACTCAGGAGTGGGTGGGGGTCAACTATGCCCCAGGGAGGAGAGGGGCAGCGCCTGCAGAGGCGACTGGGAAACGCATCAGGTGTACTAGTCAAAAAGCATAAGGCCACTGCCGAGTTCCGAGTGGGGGGGGCGGGAGTTGGACACGGGGCCCATCACCAGGAGGCTGGAGAGTAGGGTGGCCAAGGAAAGGCAGCGAGCACGGAATCCAATGGCTGAGTCACATCCCTCCAATCCTCAGGACCGGGGGCCGTCGCTCCTGGTGGGACGATGAGGTCCTGCTCTGTGGTGTCACGGGCGGACGCCCAAGTGGAACACCAGCCTCTAGAGCTTATGTGGCTTCAGGTGCTGCAGCATCGCCCCACGAAGAGCCCGCGCTCCTCCCGTTTGCCAGCCAGCTGGTTGCCGTGGGATCTGCCAGGTCAATCACCTTTTGTTCATGCTGTCTGGGGGTCAGACTTTTCTTTCTAGATGGTACATCTGAGACCCTCCCACTGTGCAGCTCCTGAAGGTGTCTGCTGGTGGTGACTGGTGTGTGTACGTGTGCACACATGTACATGAACACACCCTCCCAGGCCTGCATCCATGCACACTGCTCAGCGTGGTGGACCAGGGCCGAGAGACCATCACTGGTATCCCTGCTAAGCTACTAGGACTCTAGCAGCAAAACTTGAAAAAGCTTCTCCAGCAGGGGGCAGCTGGTTCCTAAGGCAGAGAGAGGACTTTTAGGAAGATAAGGTTAGACAGTCACTTGGTGGAGCAGTCCCCACAGATAACCTCAGCCATGGCCTTTAAAATCAACTCAAGGCATTCCAGGAGGGCGGGGCAGATGGAGATGTGGAACATTCAGGAATCCATGTCTTTATGGGAGCAGCCACAGTGCAGCAGTGTCTACGGCAACCCACGTACAACACTAGATTGTGAATTAGCTCTGGGATTCGTTTCAGCAAGTGAATCCTCAAGAAGTCCCTTTACCAGGCCTTCCCCTCTCTTCCCAAGTTCTGCAATGTCTTAGTTCTCACTTCTCTTCCCCTTTGTCCCTCTTTCTTCTGGGCATGGACACTTCATCTCCCAAGGACTCTGGAAGCCTCCGGAGCCTGTGCTAAGCTTTCCCTGGTGCTCCCTGGCCCAGCCCAGCACGGGCAGGGGCTCAGGGCGCTGCAAAGGACCATGGTGGCGCTGGGCTGCCGGGCGCGTCCCAGCCGAGACACCAGCCAGGCTGCACACTCGCCCTGTCAGCCCCGCCTCTGGGCCACGGGCTTGGAGCCAGGCCTGGTTCTCAACGCACTCAGAAGCTTGCGTCCCGGTGAGCCCTCCACTGCGGAGCAAGAAAAGCCAAAGAAGCAGAGGCGACCCTTGTGGGGCTGTCGGAGGGCCCCTCGCTGCCCCCTTGGCCCCGCCGGGGCAGCAGCGTGGTGTGTGTGGTCAGAGGTGGAGGGGGTTACACGTCTGTACTGATAGCCCTTGGATTGGTGAAGGCCTCACGCCCAGAGCCCGGCCAGGTCACCGGGTAACTCTGGGGTGCTGCCAATTTGAGGGACGGGGGACCCCCCTCTTTGTAGTATGTAGGGGCAAAGGAGAGCCTCTCGCCTCCACCCCCATTGGGCACCATGTCAGCCGTCCGTATGTAAAAGGGGGAGCTGTATGGGGAGCAGGTGGTGCAGTGGCTCCCTGCCACCCCACACGGCTGGCCACAGGGCTCGCCCGGGAGAGGCGCCAGGCCGCCTCTGCTGTCCAGCGCCTGGGAACTGCAGGCATTGCAGCTGGCACCTCTGGGATGTGCGGGGAGGTCGTGCTCCTGCTGCTCCTCCTCCTCATCTGCATCCTCAGATCCGCTCTTCTTGCAGCAGTAGTACTGGAGGAGGGGACAGGGACGCTTGAGAGAGGGTGGATTCTCGCCCTGGCCCCAGTGCTCATGTGCACCCACCGGCACCCGCGCCCCCGCTCCACCGAGTCCCTGGGGCGGAGCCCTGTGTTGGTGCTGGGGATAAAACTGAGCAGCCAAGGCCCACGTTCTGCAAATACACGTTCCCAGCCTTGAAGGCCGACATTTCCTTCCCTTTCCCTTCCCTCTGCTCCTCCGTGTGTTGACCAGGCTGCAGCTGAGGCGGGAGACAGAGAGGGAGGGGTGTGCACATGGTGTTGAGGACGGGGCTGGGGCTGCTGGCAGTGGCTCTCAGGGTCTCCCCGATGGTGCTCTTCCCCCCACTCCTGGAGTCCCAGGGGCACAGGAGACCCAACACAATGACCCAGTATGTTGCCAGCATGTTCCCTCTAGGCGCCCTGAAGGGTGCCGGTGTGGGGGTGCACAGCCCCCTCTGACCAGCCCCCCTGACTCATGCCTCCCACGTTCCGTGGCTTTGGACCCTGTCTGCCCCAATGTGGGCCTCCAGTTTCTGCTTCCTTCATGAGAACGTGGTTTGCTGCAGGCCCGGGACTGACCTGGAGCCTACAGTAGCACAGGACGGCGATGATGCAGAGGAGGATCACCGTAGCCAGGATTCCGCCAGTGATCACAACCGTTCCCGCTGTCATCCGCCCGACGCCCCATCAAACTCTGCAAAGATGTGCGTGGAGGGGTGAGGCCCAGCTGTGGCTGCCCCCTGGGCTGGGGTGGGGGAGCCTTCCTGGAACTCTGCACTAGGCTGGAGGCAGGACACCTGAGAGCCGCAGGGGCAGGGAGGCCCTGGGTGGCACTAAGCCCGGCCCGGCACATCTCACTGAATCCTCACGACAGCCTTTCGGGACAGTCATTAAGCATCCCTACTGTACATCTGACAAACTGGGGCTGAGATTAATCGGCTGGGATTCCACCCAGCCCGGTTCATCCCAAAGGCTGCGCCCTTTGTCGCTGCCCTAAGGGGCACACACACCATGGTCCCTGAGCCCTTGGCTGGAGGGGACGGGGCCCCAATCTCAAAAGTTCCACTTGGTTCTGCCCTGGCTCAAACCCTCACTTCTTTGGGGCGGTCTCTCCTCTCCTTCAAACCCTGCTACAAGACAAGGGCAAGGTGAGCCGGCAGGCGACTCCTGACAGCTGTGGCCAGGCGCTAACGGGGCTGAGCGAAAGGAGCAGGGCAAGCCCCGGGTGTGCGGCTGTCCTGGCCTGGGGCAGACTCCCCATTCAGGTCAGTGAAGGAGGATTTCTGAGCCTCCCAGGGACCCTGGGAACAGGAGGGTGGGGACCTGGCTTCTTGAGGGTGGAAGAACAGCTGTGAGCACTTACGTTCAGTAACGGGAACGGTGACCTGCAAGACAACAAAAGGGACAGAGATGTTGGAAGAAGAGTGGTACCTACCAAATAAGGACCCAAGGGTTAGAGGATTCCACCCCCACCCTCATCTTGCTTTCTCCCCTGGGTGGTGTATCATTAATAAACCTGCAGACCCAGAGTCTGGGTCTCCAACTGCTAGTAGACAGACATTTCCCTTGGATGTCCCACCGTCATCTCAAACTCCCCATGACCGGCTAAAGTCACCACTCTGTTCGCCAAATGAGCTCCCCACCTCTGACCTCTGCCTCTGTTAGTGGTTGTACCAGGGCTGCCCCGAAGGGTTTTGCAGGTCGTTCATGCCTCAAAGGGCAAGTGGGGGCTAGGACCCAGCTGTGCTCTGCCCACAAAGCTGTGCGCCCTGGCACGTCCACCAGCTGCAACGGGAAGGCTTTTCTTCACGCGAAGACACCACACGCCCACACTGTGCTCCCAGAGGGAGCACCCACCCAGTGGCAGGCACGGTTCCCAACCCACTCGAAGGGGCCGTGCGGCTGCAGTGCTCCATGTGGTCTGCGGGCCAGCAGCAAGGGCACCGCCTGGGAGCGTGTTAAATGTGCCTCTCAGGCCCACCGCAGGCCTAATCAGTCAGAGTCTGCATTTGCACAAAGTCTTGGGTGATCAACTGGCATATTAAGGTTGGACAAAACCATGGGATGTTCCCCCCATTGCCCAGACTTAAAAATCCTCAAATTCTTCTTTGTTCTTCTGTTCCCCACACCAGTGAAGACTCAAGCCTGCACTCGAGACAAACCTGCCTGGTTTTGTCTCTGAGCACCCTTCCTGGCGCTGGCAGTGAAGCCTCTCTCGTCATGCCCCTGTGCCCCCGTGCACCATGCTGCCTGCAGGATGCACAGATCTGGGCACAGAACTTTTGATGGAGCTGCCAAGGCTTTGCCCTCCCCCCTTCCCTGCAGCTCGCCACCTGTCTATCTCCTCCCTCCTCCTCCCCCTCCCCCTCCACGAACCCTCTGCCCCTCCAGGCGGTCCCAGTCCTTGGGAAGCTTGCAGCCTGCTGATGAAGAGCCACTCAGCACACCATGACACCGCGTGGGACACGCAACCAGAGCGGCCCCGACCGGGGCTGCAGGGACGGAGGCGGCACAGCCCATTCCTGGGGAGAGACGTTCCACGGGAGACACGATGAGCTGAGCCCTCAAAGCTGAGTGGCAGCTTGTCCGCGAGGCGAGGCGGAGAGGGCGGAATGCACAGGCTGGCTGTGGAGAACCCGGGACAGGGAGGCTGTGAGGAATCTGGACGGGCTGGGGCAGGCCGGGTCGGCACGAAGCTGGCGAGGCTGTGAGCCCAGCAGGCAGTAGGATCTACTCTCCTGGAGACGACGACGGGGGCTCCCGAGCGCTCTCCGTGGGGAGGGTCCCGATCCTGCTTTCTCCGGTCAAGTCCTGCTCATCCCCGCGGCTCTCTCATTTCCGGACTCCCGCCGCCATGCCTTCCCCCCCTCATTTTCCAGGTCCTATCTCGGTGGGGCAAGAGTTCACTTTTCATGTGGAAAATCTGCCTCTTCCGCTCAATTATCAGTCTCTGGGGTCAGGGCTTGTGTGTCACACTGCTTCCTACCCCACCGCGGCACCGCACGCCACGCCCGGCGCATCGCAGGCGCTCGGTGCAGGTCGGCCGGGCGACATCGGGGCTCCGCGTGGCCCCGCAGGCCCGACCCCGACGCGTCGCCCGGGGCGCCAGTCGCGGCTGTCCGCTCGGTCCCATCTGCAGCCCGGGGCGCCACTGCGCAAGCGACTTTGCCCGGCGCGCGGCGGGCCGTGCTTCAGGGACGGCGGGGGCAGCTGGTGGGGGCAGAGAGTCCCGGCCCGGGAGGCCTGATGGCTCCCACCGCGACACAGTCCCCCTTCCCGGCTCCTCAGGGGACAGAGGCCCGGCGCGGCCTGAAGCCGAGGCAGCGGGGACCCCCGCCCGGGAGGCGTGGCCTCGTCCCCGGGACGTGCCCAGGAGGGCGGAGACTGGAATTCTGGAGACGCCACAGGATCAGCGCCCTCCCCACGGGCGGGCGGCCTCGCCTCTTTCTGAGCCACGGCGGCCGGAAGTGGGCGCCGGAAATGGGCGCGGCGGAGCCGGGGGCTGCAGGCCCAGGTCGGAGGTCAGCTCTCGGGTGCGCCGCGCTTTTTCCTCCCAGGTGTGGCCGTGAGGCATCATGAGGTGTCAGCCCTTTTCCTCAGAGCTACCCAGTGTGATTGTGAGGAAGAAGTGAGGCTCTGCACGAACTCCTGCAAACCCTGAACAGCCGCCGCACACGGCTGTTTGTGGGGAAGAGGACGGCGCAGACGTTTTGTGGCATTTAAGTCCGGCCTCAGAGTCACAAGCCAGGAAGGCGCGTGTAACGGGCGCGAGATGGACCGACCAGCTCTCAGCCGGTTTCCCCAAGGCCAGCACTGACGGTGCGATTCGGCATTTAGATTCCTGCATTCGGCGACTGTTATTTCAGGTGGGCTCGTTTTCTCCTGGCGTCTGGGTGTGAATGCTGACAGCAGCTCCCGGCACCTGAGCAGCACCCACAGTTAGCAAAGGGCCGCGTCTATACTCCCTGCCAGGGCGAGCGGGCCCCGGATGCCCCAGTGCTCCCCGCCTCCTGGCACCGCGCCCTCTGTGCCCCGCCGCCGGGCGTGGGTGCGACCCGTGACTTCTAACCGCGGAATACAGGAAAGGTACCGGGATGTCGCTTCCGTGAATGGATTATGTGAGATCCTGGCTTCTCCCCTGCTAATTCTGATGCGTCAGGTCGCCGTCTTTGGGGGGTCCCTGTGACGGAATGAGGGGCGCTTCCGGCTAACGGCCATGGAGGGACTCAGGTCCTCAGTCCAGCTGCTCAGCAGGACCCGAACAAACACGTAAAGGAGAGTGGAAGGAGAGCCTCTCCCAGTTGGGCTTTTGGATGAAATCGCAACCGCAGCGGAGACTCTGCAGCAGTGGGCCCAGCCGGCCACGCCTGACTCCCGACCCACACAAACTCCAAGATAATTGGCATGTGTTGTTTTAAGCTGCTAAGTTTACAGTACTTTGTTATACAGCAAAAGATAACTAATACACTTCCCTGAACCTTAAAAAAAAAACCCCACAAAATGGGGCTCCACGATGCAGGAGGGGCAGCCAGACCATTAAGTAATTTGCCTGACATCACAGGATAGCAATTGCCTGAGTCAGGACGCAAGGGCCAGTGCCGCGGAGCTGCCACCATACCAGCTGCGTCTGGAGGGGCTTCCTGAGAACAGGAGAGAGCAGTCTCGGTGTTCCCATCAAGGTCCTAGCAGATCTGGGGCAGAATGATTTAGTGGTGGCCAACTCAGGGGCTGGGGTCAGCCGAAGAGGACAAAGCTGATGTCCACCAAGGAATCCCGAAGGCCTGCCCTCTGTGACCAGGACTTTCTGAAGCTCGTCACCCACCCAGGGCCCAGACACCCTCTCCCAGGTGGGGCTGGGGAGGGCAGGGTCGGCCTGGGCCTCACACTTACGTGAAACAGCCGGAGCGGCGGCGGCTCAGTCACGCAGGCTGTGCCTGAGCAGACAGCAGTTGGGGGTGCGTCATGGCCAAGGCATCAGTCCCTGCCAGAGAAAAAAGGGGAGGATCGGTGAGGCCTGGACAGGGAGGCTGAGAGGGCAGACAGGCTCGGGCCTGCCCCTGGTGTGACCTTGTGAACTCTAGAGTGGAGGCTTCCAAAGGGGTTTGCTTCCTGGGCTCTGCAGCTTCCTTGGTCTGTACAGCCTGAGAACCTGAGGACACATTTCTAAGGTCACATGTTCTCATGTCCTGGTCTCCTTCCCCCAGTGCTGCCATCTGGGAAGTGAGGCTGCACCGGACAATTCAGATCGATCCCCCAGCTGGGGTGTCCCTGGGGCCGGTGTGACTGATCCCTCTCTCGGGCCCCACATATCTTTCCCATTCCATCCCCCCCTCTTCCCTGGGCTTGTCCGTTGTTTCCAGGGTCTGGCACCGCACACTCCCTTCCCTCACTCCGACGTCCTGACTTCTATCAGGCCAAACACACCAACAGTGGGATGCATGGGTTCAGGCTGACGTGCTGAGGGAGGGGGAGGCGGGATCCTCCCAAGACATCTAGGAACTCAGCGTAGGCTAATTATTGGGGGTCTCTTTAAATTCTTTAAATGCCTACTCCACATTATCTAGAAGAGTTTGGACCTTATGCTGGGAAGGGGAGGGAGAGGAAGGTCGCCCCAGTGGTCCTGAGGAGGGGAGGCCTCTAGGGTGCATGTCTGTACTGGGGAGGGAGCCCAGCCATTAACCACATCCAAAGAGCCACTTGCCAAGGGGACAGGGCTGACCCCTCTGGGTTCTTGGCCTCGGCCGGAAGTTGGAGGTCAAAGGACAGACATTAGCGTGTCAAGGAGTGGTGCCTGTCTGAGTCTAGCAGGGCTCGGGAGCAGGGCTCTCGGGGAAACTGAGAAGGCGGCAGAGTGACTGCGTGACGGAGCAGCCCTGTCCCCACATTCCCTCCCGTCCAGATCCGGCCGTGATGCTGTCTCCCAGCTCCCGCCTTGGGCGTTCAGGGCACTCAGGCTTCCTTTTGCCAAAGATGTTCTCACTCTCGTTAAACTGTGAGTCGCCCGGGACTGGGTGTTAGAGTGTGGTTCTTCCTACACAGGTTTTGACTGATGTGCCAAAGGAGAAGTCGAAAGGCTCAAGTGAGCTTGGGACAGATCCCTCCCCACTGGCAGTGTGCCGTCTGCACAATGGAAATCTGAGAACATGCGTGTCAGGGTCTGTGAATGCTTCCACCTGTTGTGTAAAATACAGATGGGACAGTAATTTGGTGAAGGTCTGGTAAGGAAGATTTCTGAGGTGGGAGCTGTTGGCTGAGCTACAAATCCCAAGGGAGGGAGCCGTGGGGCTGCCCATCCTGAGTCCCGTCTCAGTGCCAGTGGTGGGAGGCGGCTGGAGGTGGCCTTCAGATGTGCAGGGGCTGAACAAGGGGTCGCAGGAGACCCCTGGAATAGAGATGTGGTGCTTAACTCTGTTAAACTGGGAGTGTTTTGATTATTACTCATTATTACGGCTTCTAATTCCTGAGTTGAGACTGTATAACACGTAAGACTATCACCTAAGAGTGGATGAAAATGCAATGGATTGGCCCAAGTTTTTTTCTAGGGGCAGGGGAAGATTTTTCCCACTGAATATATTTTAAAAGTAAAGGGACATTCAAAGAAAAAAAATTAAAGTTGCTTTTTGAGCACAAGTAATGCAATGTGCTTCTCTACCACATCAGTTACTTATAGAAAAACAATCCATAGAAATGTAAGGACTCCCCATATCTTTTTTTCTCGTTGAAGAAACCGAGTTCAGAGAGGATAAGTGACTTGTGTAACACACAGAGCAAGATACAGATGGGGTCACAGAGGCACTGGGAGTGGAGCCCCCGACCCCAGGCTAGGGCCCTGCCGTTAGACGCTGTCCCTCCTTCCGGAAGATCTGTACTTACTTGTCAGAAGCTAAGGTGTCTCTGAAGTGGGGCTTCTCAAACTGGCTGGACGGTAACAGTGACCTGAGCCACAGGTCAAGAGCTGGAGCCTCCAGATGTCCGGAAGCAGCACCTGCAGGGGCGGGGCCGGGGAATCCGCACTGTTAGCAGGTGTGAGTCTCACCCTCCGGCCCTTTTGGGAAATGATGCGAGAATGAAGGTCTTTGGGAGGATTTCAGTCTGGAGGCAGCAGGGGAGGGGTGACCTTGCAGAGCCCGTGGTGTCATCTGGCACCCACCACAGACTGGCTCTGGGTTCTGTCTCCCTGGGGCAAGCTGGCCAGAAATCAGGAGGAGGAGGAGGGAAGCCTGAGAAGAACCAAAGGTGTGTGGTGTCAACCTGGGTGGGAGGGAGCCAACAAAGTGGGGGACGTTAAAGGCCATTTCTCCAGCAGCGGCAGAGGCTGGGCACTCACGGCCACTCTGGTAGAATGTGTCGGGAAATGGGTCCCTCACTCCCCACAGGGCCAGGGGGCCCTGCTGCCTCTGAAGGACCCCCCGTCCTTAGTGGCTTCAGCCTCGCTGCAGCAGGGTGACCTCACCTCACTGCCTGGATGAACACCAGCAGGAGAGCCAGCCGCCGCTGGCACCAGCATATGTAATTAACCACAGGCTGCCCCTGCTCCTTGATCGGCCCCCTTAGGAGCACAGGTTAATTGAGTGCGGCCTAAGCACTGGCTGATCTCAATTTCTTCCAATGCAATTAAGCCATCTCCAATCATTTATTAACTTGTGAAATTGACACAGCAGGTTAGCAGCCCCAGAGAAGAGGAGCAGCTTTCCCCGTTACCTGTCTTCCTGGATTGCAATGCTCAGGCAAGGCTGGCACAGGGGAGCCGAAAAGGGGCTCCTTTGACTTTGATTGTATGTATGCCCGTTGCCAAGGCCTGAGCCCCAGGATGAGGGTCTGAAGAGTTGGTGATGTGGGTCACTTTGCCCCAGGTGGGTAACTACAGCAGCAGAGATGTGTGCTGTTTGAGAAGATGCAGGGAACTCTTGCAAATCAAGAGAAAACCCCAAGAACCTCAGTGTAATAACGCGTAATGCACAAGGTGGTTTAGGAAAGGTGCAGCCCCGAAAGGCCGACAAGGAAATGAAGAGATGCACAAACTCATTAGTAATCTGAGAAACACAAACGGAAGCCACAGTGAGCTCTCACTTTGTACCTGCTGGACTGGCAACAAGTAGAAGTAGGATAATGCTAAGTACGGGTGCAGATGTGGGAACACAGGAGCACTGGTGGGGGGTGTAGCCAGGGCTGCGCTGGGGGAGTGACCTGGCCCCACTTAGCCGCAGGAAGTACACATGTGCCCCATGAAACAGCAATTCTGCTCCTGGGTCTGTGGCCCCCAAATTTCTCAACACATCTGTGAGGGGTCATGTGCGAAGATGTTCGTTACTGTACTGGGTTGCTTATGGTGGCAGGGAATGGAGGCCACCTCAGGGATCGTCACTGGGGAGTGGAGAGGTAAAAAACAGGCAGGTGCATGGGGGCAGCGGGGAATGCAACTGCCGAAAACAACGGAGCAGACGTCCCTCAGCAATGCCTGGCAACAAGGAGAAATCTCAGCATGGTGCCCAGTGAAAAATACAACCCAAACGTGAGCTGCATAACAGTACTGCTTACATAAATTTAAAATATAAGCACACAGATCAACAATTGATATTTTTCAAGAACACATGCCAAAAACCAGATACGCATTATGGCTGCCTATGGAAGAAGGGGAATGAGAGTGAGAGAACAAGGAAAAAAATAAGAGACAGGCCTTGCCCAGAGCAATGACGAAAGACACTGTGCTGTGATCCGAGGAGTGTTACGAACTTAGTCGTCTGCCTCTGAGGTCCAACTCAAACAGAAAGAGAAAAGAAGGAGGCTTTCACCTCCCCCAGGGAGCCTTCCACGATCAGCTTAATGTTCACGTTTTTGTTTGGCCTTCCTAAGTCCTGATACGCTGGTGTCCTGTGGGTACGTTTTGCTTCCTTCGCCAGAGAATAGGCCATCTGAGGGCACAGACTTGGAATCCTGTGTCTTCACTGGGCCACACTCCAGCTGCCTGGTATCCGGCACATTCCAGACACTGGAGTGACCAGGTCGCATGGGGAAGTGGCTTTGCATGCGGAGTGCTGTCTCGACACGGAGCCTTCCCTTCCGGTCTGCTCTGCTGGGTACAGTGGAAAGAGCACTAAGGCAGGAGTCCCGGGATTTGGGTTTAAATTCTCTTTTCAGTACTTATTACCTGGATGACTTTGGACAATTAATGATCTCCTTGAGGTTCATCTGCAACATGGAGATAAATAATACACCTTTCTTTACAGCGTGAGGCTTACATGGGAAAATGGGGGGGCTGTTATTTAAAATTATGCCCCTTCTAAGGAGGGTAGACGTTGTCCCAAGAGCCTCAGGCTGACAGAGGAGACGGCCCTTCATGCCCACGTGTCCCTCGAAGAGTCTGGCCATGCTGAGGTTTGGGAGCAGGCCTGGGGTGAGCTCGACCACGCAGCAAACAGAGTAAGGACAGAGTGTCGGGGCATGGGGTGGGGAAGACAGACAAGCCAGGGGACATAGCCGAGGCTGGGGTTCTGCTGGGTCTCCTGGCCAGTTAAAATCCTGGCAGTTAATCAGTGTAAAAGGCTTTTAGGAATTGGGAGGTCTCTTATTTAATTCTAAGTTCTTGTAGTGTTGTTTCCTCAAATCTGAGTGATGTTTTCCTGTCTGTGGCAATCAAACGAAGGGGCTGAGCACACGTCTGGGTGCGTATCCATGGCGTCAGGTTTGTTCCAGGTGGGACCCTGAAAAGTATGTGTAGGACGGAATGTGGTTCATGCAAAACTTAGGCTGGTAAAACAATAGCTGCGGGAGTCTGGGGAGTCCCCAGACTTCGTAGATCTGGCAGCTGCAGCCAGCGTCCCGCCCCCTCCCTCCCTGATGGAGACCAAGGCTGTCCCTCCCTCGCTCTCCTGGTAAGGACGATGCCAGAACAGAAGCACGGATGCGACTGGGGCAAAGGGGTCCTAGGAGTTGGTCGTTTGAAGAAGAATTTACTACAAGCAGCTGTTCTGCCCACTGTCC